TTCGCCGAGGCAGGTGGGTGGAATAAAGCCAAGAGTGGTCAAGCTTAGACCTGGCACGAGGGTATGTAAACCCTAACGAAGAGTCTCGGTCATGTAGGTCCCGTTAGGCTCCCGGGATGGGGACCTCGGGATGATCGTACCCGATGGTTAGAAACACTGAGTAATATGACTGACTATCGTAAACAGTGGTGTTCGTGCATGTTGTAAACTTCTCTACAACATTAGTCCAATGAAATTCCAAATTTTCTCTTTGATCCTACTTACAGCCTTTCCTGTCTTTCTCCTAATGTTCACCCAAATGGGCAGCAAAAACTGGTGCACGATAGTACATGGTTAATGGTTGTACAAGCTCAAATGAACTGAACTGCCCCCAACCAACCAGTCGCAGACTTATAGACCCAAACCTAGAAGACGAGAGACGCCTACTCTACCAATCGCCCGGTACGTTTCTCCATATCTCGTTTCGACGTCTTCTGTTGACCTCAACGTAGTTTCCTGTAACTGAATGCAGCAACAACTAAGATGTGGTAGACAAACGGGCATGCATATGCATTCCCCTAGATTAACTATTAATGGTGAGTTAACCTGGGCAATCCTACTAGAGTTTTCAGTTTCAGTTTGAACAACCATTAACCATGCACTTTCGTGCGCCGGTTTTGGTTGCTGTCTTTTGGCTGCCCATTTAGATGAAGAATAGGAGAAGAAAGGAAAGTTGAAAGTGGAGTCAAAAAGAAAATGGAGAAGTTCAGTGGTCTAAGGTTGGGAAGAAATTGAGGATGCACGAACGCCACTGTTTACGACACCCAGCCATATCGCTCAGTGTCTCTAACCATCGGTTAAGTTCATCCCGAGGTCCCCAGCCAGGGAGCCTAACAGGACCTATGTGACCCAGTTTCCTGGTTAGGGTTTACATACCCTCGTGCCAGGTCTTAACTTGACCACCCTTGGCTTTTTTCCACTCCGTATCTGCTTCGGCGAACATCGCTCGCCGTGGTAACCTACCTGGTGACATGCGCAACACATGTCCCAGCCAACGTAATCTATGGAGGTCGACCACTTGCTCCAGTGGGCGACCGTATTTACCCAAAACTCTGCCCCTAACCTCAACTTTGTTCGTCAAGCTGCCCCACCAGGTTCGTGCAATGCTGCGTAGACAGCGGTGTTCAAACACCGACAGTCTGTCTTTATCTTGTTGTCTTAATGACCAAGTTTCTGCACCGTATAGCAGGACTGGCCGAACTGTTGTGGCATACACTCGACCCTTCACAGACAGCCGATGTCGCGACGGCGCCACAGATGTCTCAAGTTGGCAACTGCCAATCGAGCCTTCTGTATGCGAGCTGACACTTCATCCGCAATACGTCCACCGGGTGAGATGTAGCCGCCAAAATAACAAAACTTATTCACCTGCTCTATTACTTCTCCAGTAAGAGTGAGATTGAGTGCTGAACCAACCCAGTCTTGTAGCAACAATTTACACTTTGAAGGTGCAAAACGCATACCGAATATGGCTACACTAGCATGCAAGTTATCCTGAAATGCTTGCAACTTACCTGGATCTTCACTTAGTAGCACAATGTCGTCTGTGTACTCTAGATCAGACAGCCTGCCACCTCTGAGTAAATCGATGCCGCTATCCTCGCACGAGGATAGGGCTGTTTCCATAATCAAATCTACAACGAAGTTAAATAGAAAAGAAGAAAGAGGGCAACCCTGACGAACACTACTTTCCGTGGTGAACTCGGGAGAAAGTGCCGTAAGCCTGGACTCGACTTCGGCTATTAGTATAAAGCGATCGTAATAGTGAAATTAACTTCTCGGGCAAACCCTTCAGAAAAAGGCAGCGCCAGAGTTTAGAGCGGTTGACTGAGTCGAAAGCCGCTTTCAGATCTAGGAAGACAGAGATGGTGGATCTACGAAAAGAATGCCGGTGCTCCAGAATTTGGCGCAGAGTGAAGATCTGGTCGATACAACCTCGACCGGGTCTAAAACCAGCCTGGTTCTCACGCGTGCACTGTTCGCGTGCGGCAGACAATCGGTGGAGTATGATGCCAGCGAGAAGTTTAGAGACGATGTTGATTAAACTAATTCCTCTATGATTTTCAGAAGAGGATCTAGCACCTTTCTTGTAGATCGGTATGATCACCGAATCACGTTATTCAGCTGGAACCTCCTCTCTTTCCCATATTGAGCCCAGGAGTTTTGTCAACTCCAAGACTAACGCTGAGCCTCCCTCCTTAAACGCTGATGGGAACAGCCCATCTGGGCCAGTGGCCTTATGCCTTTTGAGATAACACATTTCCCGGGATACCTCCATTTCAGATGGAGGACTAGCAACAACTGGGGGTATTTGTCCAGTCTAGGCGGAGAGTGAAAGATGAGGTGTCGATGGGGGCCAGTTGAACTGAGCCTTGAAATGTTCAGCCCAACGGTCAAGACGGCTGATCGTGAATTAGTGTGCCATCGGATTCCTTAATTACCTCACGCCTACTTTCCTACTAGAGTAGGAATACCATCATGAGAAAAAAAAATCAGTTTTCCATAATCTATAAAACCTCTTGCGAAAAGCGAATCGGGCTGATATCGTGTTTTTAGCAGGAGATATGAATGCCAAAGTAGGCTGTTTGACTTCCAGTGAGGCTCAATGGGAGGTCTTTTTGGACTAAATTCCCATCATTCGAAAAAAAGGGGACGGCTGTTGGCTCTATGTTCCTACCACCGTCTAGTCCTCGCCAGTAAGAACTTCAGAAGCTCTAACCGCCGGTACGCCACTTGGTGTTCACCTTCCTCGAGTCAGCGACGGGCGCAGATTGACCACATCGCTATAAGCCACAAATGGCGGGGCTGCATTCAAGACTGCCGATCGTACTGGAGCACTCACTTCGAATCCGACCGCGCATTAGCATGCGCCAAGCTGTCCATGTGCTTCGGTGGGCGTTCCAAACGCACGATACGACGGTTAGACTGTGATAAGCTGTCCAAACCAGATTGTCTAACTGTTTTCCAAAGCGCACTAGCCGAAAAGCTAGAACTAACCCAATCCGATAACCTCAATCAGCACTGGTTGCTTATCAAGAATGCTATGCATTCTGCTGACTTAGTTACTTGTGATCTGACACATCGTGTCATTTCCCCTGAGTATCTGTGCTTTCTTGACGCACGTCGCTTAATTCCAACCGGCAGCGAGCATAATGAAATACGACATGCAACGAGTTGTGAACTTACGCTTACGCAGATATCGCGAAATCTGGTGGTCTCAACGCGCATCAGAGACGGAACATGCTGCCGCCATGGATAATGCCCGAAAGCTGTTTCAACGCATTCGACTCACCGGTAGGAAAACTTTAGGCGTAAGCGAAACGATCTGCGAAGCTGACGGCTCGCTTATTCACATTCAACAACGTCTTGCACGCTGGGCGAAGCACTTCACAGCACAATTTAGCTGACCGCCAGCGTCAGCCTCTCACACAGCTATTCCGGCACACGTCTGATGGCCTGTATCAACAGACCCACCTTGAGGCAGAACTCAGTAAAATCCAAGCCTCGGGACGCCACAAAGCGCCGAGCTCCGATGGCCTTCCCCAGTTCTACTTAAAGATTGTGAAATAAAGCTTGTTAGAAAACTACGGGTCCTGTTCTCTAAAATTCGGAACACTGAGCAGGTCTCCTCCTCGTGGAATCGATTATTGTCAATTGTTATTATCTTTAAAAAGGGCCCACACATAGGGGTGAGCTTGATCACAATAGCGTCAAAGTTGTCACCGTCCATCATTCTTCGTAGATTGTACGAAACACATGCGGAACATGCCCGCAAGAAACTGGCTGGGTTGCGCGCCGGTAGTGGCTGCATCGATTAAATCCTAGCCTCCGACAGTCGCTAGAGCACCATCATGCTGACCGAAGACCAATGATCATTGTGTTCTTAGACATTCGCGCGGCCTTCGACTCTGTCGATAGGACCGCACTATGGAGCTGTTTGTTGAGGAATGGAGTGCCAGAGGAGCGTGTCGATCCTCAAAAAGTTGTATCGTTCTATCTCGAATCGGGTTAGAGCCTATGCCTAGCTTTCGCCACCCTTGGTTATCTCCAGTGGAGTTCGACAAGGCTGTCTTATGTCCCCATTCCTTTTCAAATGCCACAAAGTTCTACAGAATGCTTTATCCAGTTTAGCAAACGGTGGAGTCGAACTCCCATGGAATAGAGTTCTTGACATCACCTTGTTGAGTGACAATAAGCAGGCAGTCCAACACGCTGTGAACCGCTTGGCGACTGAGGTATCCAGGTATGGTATGTGCTTTACACCATCAAAGTGCAAAGTAATCGTTCAACACTGGCAGAAGCCCCTGCCTGCACTCATCCTCTGTGGTAATCAACTGTAAGTAATTGGGAGCTTTAAGTACCTCGGGAGCTTGATCGCAGCTGGTGGTGGTGTTTGGGAGGAGACCATATCACGAACAGCGAGAGCCAGAGCAGCTTTCGCCAACCTGCGACAGCTGTGACGCCGCCATGACATCCGACTGTTCCTCAAGGGTAGAATGTGTATCGCCGCTGTTTGTAGCGTTTTCCTCTACGGTTGTGAGACCTGGCCCCCTCCGCGTTGAGGATGCTAATCGACTTTCCGTATTCGACCAACAATGCCTTCGAGGCATTGCTCGTGTCTGGTGGGAACATCGGGTGAGCAATAAAGAGGTTCGTCGTCGTCGTTGGGTGCGGATAGTCGTTCTCTAAAAGACGCAATAGCTCTACACCGCCTCCGAGGGGCCGAGAGAGCCTATAATAGAAGCCAGTGACGCGAATGTGGTACAGTCTGCCTGTCGAAATCCCGTGCCCCGTCAAAGATAGCAACAAACTAACATGGAAAAATATCAGAAAGTTTAGGATGATACACACAAAAGACTTATTTTAGTTATCTATTTTCAATTTTGGCTGTTTCGCCTTCTTTCCACTCGGTTATGTATTCCAATCAACCCAAAAGCCTCTGTATGGTCGGAGGTGGGTATCTAGGGTTGCGGCTGGTCGCCCTTCCCTTGCACCTCGCGAAATACTCCCATACGACCAATTGTCTCGAATAGCCTNTCTGCTGAGGACGCCATATTTACTGTCTTCTCGTTGCGGTTTTCCACCAAAGGGGACGAAAAGCCGACATCCGAAGCTATAACCCGGTTAGTGGACCACTGGCATTTTACCTACAGGGGTTGGCCGAAAACCCTGAGTCCAAACTAACCACGAGGAGGCGTGCGAATCACACACGGTGGGCGCCGACTCAATTGGGCATTGAGGTGTATTGGGTACCTTGGACGTTTGACCCTGTTCAAAGGGCGTGATCTGATGAACTGGACACCGGCTCCCAATGGACTGCGGTTTTCACCGCCCTGCTGCCTTGCGGGTCAGGCTTCGTTAGCCAAGAGCTCCGGTTTTGGATTCCTCGAGAAAATTCACCTGCCTTGGCCTGGACAACCTGACAGTATTCAGCCCACATTATATTATTATATTTCACACTTGTCTGAGGACAGACTGTGTGCCAAGCACGAGTACAATGATCTTTATATGAAAGAAAAACGTTCCATGATAAGGGTTTGCTACGCGAAGGCTCCCGTTGTGAATTCCTTATGAAATTTCACCTCATTTGAGTTCCACAACCAGGCAGTTTCCCACCCAGTGCCTTAGCATATTTTTGTTATGAAGATTATGGTACCATGGCTAGACAGTTTAAAGTTCAACGCGTGAAAAATTAATATTAATGATAATAATACTCAAGGAATGTGAAACCAATATAGAATTCATAAAGTTATTTTTGTCAATTGTACAACTTCCAACTGTTCCAAGCATAAGGTAAGGGAACCACGGACCATATATGCATATATGCTTGGCAAGCGAGTCTCAACTATTCTTAAACACTGTATTATAAGACACAAACAGACGCTGAGAACTTTGCGAAACTAAATGACCATCTCGGTAATGCATCATCGATTTGACATGCAAAATTGGTTAATAGCTTACGTCACAGTAATTCAGAGGGCTCACCTGAATGGTGTGGACGATTTCCTCCAACCCAATCAGGGCTGTGAACTCGTTAGTGAGAGTGCTAGGAACAAACGCTACATCCGATGGACCTGCACCGCTTGCAGGTCTCGGTAGTGATACTTTGTCCAAGTTTTTCTCGAGATGCTTTTGCAGCACTGCTTTTTTCCCATTGCATTGCTGCTCAAGTGCCTGTATCGCCATAACTTTTGTAACTTTTGGTACTTGGTGGCCAGTTAGGTTCGGTTGTTGCTGAAGTGCCTGAGATGAAGCTAAAGCAGCATACGGAGTTAATATACCACACTTACCTGGAACGGGTCTAGCAGGAGGGACGGACTGGTGTACGCGCGCTGGAGATGGACTACTCGTAGCACGATCTGCAGCAGTCACATGATGATGCATCGAATTGCTGTGCGTAGGTGCTGGCGTTTTGGGCGCATTGTGTGGCACCGAGCTCTTGCTGCTTTTTAACTGGGAAGAATGAGCTCTTTGATTCGCACGGAGCTGCTGTAAAAGCAATAAAGCACTTTCTTCGTTTCTCAACTCGCTCTCAATTTTGGCCAGTAATGCCTTGGACTTTGAGTGCAAAACTGAACTGGGTGTGTTTTCTTTTTCCATCTCATTGCAGATGGCGTCGATCATAGCCTCATCCTCGTCTTCACTGAGGAGAATAACATCGTCGTCCACTTTCTGAAAATATTTAGAGGTGTATGATTGCAACTAACCTTTGAGACGACTTTTTCAGGAGTGTCAGATTTTCCACTGAGGTCAAGCACATCATTTTCTGTGTACGCTCTAGGAAGTGTAACAGTTTATATAAAAATTACTTTTTGGGTGGCGGTTCTGACACACTATGCGTAGTGTTTTCTAACTTTCGTTTTTCAACGGCTGGAAAATATAAAGAAACAAGGTATAACCTACAGAGAATGATACCGGACATGATATCACTGTCTTAGGGCATTGGTGAAAAGCGTAACCAAAATTTTCAATCCACGCGCGTTAACTGTATGATGACGATTTAAACAAACTCGACCAGAATAAAAAATCTAAGAGATGAAACTAAAAGTTATTTAAACTTTATGGCTGAATTGAATTTTTGATCATCCTGTGTCGATCCATCGTGGTCAAAAAACATAATTGCATGAAGCACACTAATACATTATCATATCATAACGCGTCAGAAAATCTGTTGGAGCGCATCATGTTCGCGTTTGCTACGTTTATATTTATCCTACTAGCTAATTGGAAGTAGTATACGTTAAAAGTTGAAACTAGAGGCATCAGCACTGAAGCATCCTGCATCCCTTAAATACCGATAAAAATAGATTGTCGGTGTTCGAACACCGCTGTCTACGTAGCATTACACGTGTCTGGTGGGGTAACCGAACTAGCAATGCTGAGGTTAGGCGTAGAGTTTTAGGCAGTCGTGGTCGTCCACTAGAGCAAGTGATCGACCTCCATAGATTACGCTGGTTGGGACATGTGTTACGCATGTCACCAGATAGGTTGCCACGGCGAACGATGTTTGCCAAGGCTGGTAGCGATTGGAAAAAGATAAAGGGTGGTCAAACTAATACCTGGCATGAGGGTATGAAAACCCTAACCAGGAGACTAGGTCACATAGGCCCCGTTAGGCTCCCTGGCTGGGGACCTCGGGATGATTTTCACCGATGGTTAGCTACATTGAGTGACATGGCTGGGTGTCGCAAACAGTGGCTCTCGTGCATCCACTCGTTATTCTCCTAACACCACTCCCCTCCTTCCGCTTGAATTTCCTTCGACATTCCAATCTACATTTTGCTCTTTTATCCAGATGGGCAACCAAAAGACAGCAACCAAAACCGGCGCACGAAGGTGCATGGTTAATGGTTTGTAAAAACTGAAACTGGAACAAATACTTCGAATACAACCTGATGAAACCTGTAGCCTATCAGGTAGGTCTCAAAATCCACCTACTCTGTACATGATAAGTCTCCATGATCAACGAGCTTTTCATGCCAAAGATAGTGACCATTAAATGGAACTGTGCTTATTACTGTTACAAATTATTCAGCACGTTATCATCTCTTTTATAAGAGCTCTTCATTGAAAATTTGAGGTAACTGGTGATCATCATTTACGTTCTGAACAGTGACAACTAGTCGATGAAAAATCGTATCTAGGTACATTGTTGATCCTACTCCTTATAAGCTTACTTATTCAAAAATAGATGCGCGGTCTTATTATAAGTGCAGAACGTACGATAGGCATATTCCGATGAAAAGTGGTGCATGGTAGAGTTAATTTAAACAAGGCGTATCTTACCATTAACGATGATGGTCAGTAAGTACCAGAAGTCTTGACGACTGTCTCTTACTGGTCCATACTGGTTGCAATCCAATTCCCCTCACCAAAATACCACCTCAACCTTCAACATCTATCGTGTGGTCCAGTTCTGCACCGCAATTATCGTATATATTGTCCCTATGCCCTGGAACTTTGGTTGCGTGTCCTCTTGTACTGCTTAATGAATGAAGACACTCCGGCCACATGCCCGCAACCTCCGAAAGCCTCAGTATGGTCGGTGGTGGATGTCTGGGGCTGTGGCCACTTGCAAAATGCTCCTATACGACCAAACATCTTAAACAGCCTCTACTGATCAAGACTTACTCACTGCCTTATCGTGACGATAGTGTTTTCCCGTCAAAGTGAGAGGACAAAAAGGCAACAACTGGGGCTGTAACCGGTAGTTCACTTAGAAACGTGGGCTAAGACCGTGATTCCAAACTATTCAAGGAAAGGCGCACGAACCATATACAAACACAAACGCCTGCTTGTGACGCTGGTCACTGACTCGATGGGGCATCCAGATGTACTGGGCGCCTTGAACGTTGGGCACCGTCCGGTGAACTGGACACCGCTGCCTCCCCTAAATGGAATGAGGTTTTCCCACACCACCCGCAACCTTGTGGGTCAGACTGTGGCTAGTCAAAGGCTCCAGTTGCGTTTTCTCCAAGAAATATCGCCTGCTTTGGCCTAGAAAACCTGTCACTATCTCGACCATAAGCATATTTTAAAACTTTTTTCTACTGTTATTGTGCTTTTACTGTGATTGGTGTGACACCGTCTGAACTGGGACCGGTGTGAGAAATATAATATAAATGTAGTCATATGCCCCATGACAATACCGATTTCTTGAACCACCTTTAGGTAGGGTGATCTAACGTCCCAATAAAGGTAAATATTTGGTATGATCGTCTGTTGTATGGCGCTTCACTTATGGTTTGCTTCAGTTTACCTTTAATGGTCATGTTGGCGTTCGCTGTTTGGCACCTAAATGCCCCGGTTTCTCCTAGTGTCGATGACATCTAGCCTCAAAATCACCTTCATGGAGAATGCATCTTGAAGGACCTTCTGGACAAGTCCTACACACTGGCGTCCTGTTGTGAAGGTGTTCCACCGATGTGAACCACAATTTCGAACCCTACAATGGGTAGTGGGTAGATTGAGTACATCCTTAATGCACGGGATGTAAGGGTGCAAGATCCAACTAAGTGCACATAAACCCTTAGTGAACTGCGGTCTTCACTCAACACCCGCCTTCCTTGCCTTGGTAAATCGAAGTCTCCTATTCAGAAACTAAGAAATCGTGCCTTCTCTGGTTTAGATTATCTGGCAGCATTAGGGACATGAAAAAAAACACGGGTTTACTTCATCAAGACGATGTGTTTACTGTCTGTCTATGGGCAGCACCATACGTAGGGACTTAGTCTTTTTGCATACTTACGATGGTGTTTGCTCATACGTGTTTGACAAGTTCTGAAGAGCTCGTATCTAAGGTGGATAAGTAATGGTACTGTATATTTCAGTCTTATTTCACTGCCGTAGTTATGATATCTATATATCTACGATCAGAAAGACTCAAGTTTATGAATCTGTCCACATGGAACCGATGTTCAGTAAAAAGCCACTTCCTAGATTCATTAGTAATCTGTGCACAGGAACAACAAAGATTTTGGGGGTTGTCTGGTTGTCTGTCAATAAGTGTCTGTATGTGATTGGTTCTTGTATAGTCGTATGGACGTGTTGTGCATCGCAGGGTGGTGCCAGAGCTACTTAGTAATATGGATGATATAACGCTGTGGTCCCTTAATGATTCCGGAGCGGATTCAGTAGAAGAGGTCACAGCATACAAATACTCGGTAGTTTTGGGAGTAGACTGTCAACTTATTGCATATTACACTAGGATGATGATGATGATAATGATGGAGATGATGACGTTGATGGTAATGAAAAGTAAACGGTAAGGTGTATCCAAGTTAATCCATCCGAGGTTCGTAGATTGTGATCTATACTGTTTTTAGATAATCTCTGACTTTTTTAACCAATTCGTGGGACAGCTTTTTACAATAAATGCGTTAGAATATGTTTGTTTGTGCCCCATGAGTGCTCCATGTTAAAACAACGAAACAATGAAAGTGACGTTCTTTTTGTCAGCAGTCTTGGGCAATAATCACAATACGCAAATCGCACCTTCTGCCCGGAAAATACACACACATTTGCTCCACAGTTTAGTTTCATCATCATCGTACAGTGAAATACACTGAAGCGAACTTCACTAATTACTGCCCAACTCGTAATGCATACAGGGTTAGTGGTAATGTGTAAGGTGGACATGGATTGGACCTATTTTGAGGGATGGGGAAGAAGGTGAACCTCTATGATCAGCACACAGGTTCACCGGTCTAATCAGCACTGTTTCTCAGAAAATCATTGTACGTTAACTATACATAATTGGATCACCTCATCAAGTGAGTCCCCTTGTGTGGGTGAAGCTTATAGTCACGGGGACCTAAATGCAACATTAGAAGAGCAGAGGATTTACACCCTGGAATTTGGATTTACGAGCCACATGACAGCCTTATAGGAAGGGTTTGCTATTCAACCAGACCATAACGAAGCTGCCTACAACCAAGTTCGGGTAGAACGATCCAAGGAAATCATTTTGCATTCTTATGTGCTGAAACGTAGAATGACTTCACCCCCAAATCTGTCTAATCGAGATACTTCATATCAGCATGCATAAAACACAATTTGGATGGGGTGGATTTGCACTGTTTTTGAGGTGTAACCAAGTCCAAACAGGTGTAAACAACCTGCAAGATTTTCTTTTCACACTTCGTTTGCTCCAGTCAGCATATAATCAAATCCTAACGACCATTAATCTCGTGTAATCAATACAATTTGCAACTACAGTCAGTGTCATTTATTCCGTCGATTTCTGTGAATGAAAGCTTGCATCTTTACCACTAACACCGGTCTAAATTTGTTTAACAGACTCCGTCACATAAAAACAACATCTATCCTTTTCTTGCAACGTTCCTAGGATTCAGTGCGGCAAATTTAAAGAAAAACTACGAGTAGAATGAAAGAATTATGTTCAGTTACTACGGGATTTGCATCCCCCGGGGGTGGATAAATGTAAGCGTTTGAGCAAATGCGGAAGCCACATATTCATTGCACCTGTTTGCGAATGCACAGTTCACCACACAAACATTGCTCTGGGAGTAAGTAATCACGGACTGTGATTGCACTATTGCACAGTTATTTTAAATTTTACCAAGAAAATTTGGATTCCATTTGAGAAAAAGAAAAAAGATAAGCGAAAAACTGATCAACAGAGGAAGCAATAAATCACCTACTGATGTTGATCGGTAACCATGCCTACCGTTCCTCACAAACCAAAATTTTATCCACTTCTCACCACACTTGTTATGATAGCTTCTGTCAACTGTTCCATGCAAGTTGTCACTCC